ACCATCATCACGGACCCCCCCTTCGTCCGCAAGCGCCTGTTTGTTGCGCTGCAGCAGCGGCAGCACCAGCTCCGGCTTGAGGCGGCCCCGCTTGGACGCCTGGTGGTCCACACAGCTGCAGGTGTGGAGAGGCGCCGTTCACAGCTCCGGCTTGAGCCCCCCCCCCCCCCCCCCCGGTTGGAAGCCTCCTCAAAGACCTAACCCAATGTCGGGACGGTGTGGCGCACCGGCGCCCCGCGCACGGTGACCGAACCACTCTCCCCCAAAGCGGCAGTCAGCAACTCCCAACACCCGTCTGGGCGCGGGCGCAAGTCCAGTCCACCGGGCTGCTCGCCGGCGTCCGAACTGCGGACGTCCCCCGGCGCAACGGCCAACGGCGGCGGCGGCGGCCCCCAAGAATGCAAGTTCGGTATGTCGTGCAGCTCATGCACCTAATGTGGGGAGATATGGGGAGACATGCTCGAGAGATGGGGAGAGATGCTCGAGATATGGGGAGATTGCACCACGAAGCGCGGAAGCATCTTCGTGCCGCTGAAGCGAAGCGTCACGCGCAGAAAGGCGCGCAGCCCCGCCTGAGGGACATGTCTCGGACATGTCTCGGGCATGCCTCGGGCATGCCTCGGACATGTCATGGACGTCTCGGCTGCGTCTCGCCGGCCCGTAGATGTCCATCGGAGGCGGGTAATCTCGGGTCATCTCGGGTCATCTCGGGTCATCTCGGGTAATCTCGGGTAATCTCGGGTTATCTCGCCGGCCCGTAGATGTCCATCGGGGGCGCGTCGCGGTCGCGGCCACGCGCGATCAGGCAGAGGAGGCCGGGGAGGCCGAAGCAGTGGTCTCCGTGCGCGTGCGTGACAAAGACGCGGTCGATGCGCCTAATTAATGCGTAATTAAGACTTAATTAATAGTTGATCAGGCGTGTGCGTCACAAAGACGCGGTCGATGCGCCTAATTAATGCGTAATTAAGACTTAATTAATAGTTGATCAGGCGTGTGCGTCACAAAGATGCGGTCGATGCGCCTAATTAATGCGTAATTAAGACTTAATTAATAGTTGATCAGGCGCGTGCGTCACAAAGAAACGGTCGATGCGCCCGGGCGCCACGAAGCACCGCTGCAGCTGCACCTGCGTCCCTTCGCCGACGTCGAAAAGCCAGTACGAGTTGAGCAGCCTGGGAGACAAGGAAGAACGACTGGCGTGAGACTAGCGGCGCCTCGCGACGTGAGACTCGCGTGAGACGTAGCGTGAGACTGGCCTCGCATCGTGTTGTCTCAGCGGCTCTGTGTGTGTGTGTGTGTGCGTCTAGCGTGAGACTGGCCTCGGCATCGTGTTGTATCAGCGGCTCTGTGTGTGTGTGTGTGTGTGTCTAGCGTGAGACTGGCCTCGCATCGTGTGTGTGTGTGTGTGCGTCTAGCGTGAGACTGGCCTCGGCATCGTGTTGTATCAGCGGCTCTGTGTGTGTGTGTGTGTGTCTAGCGTGAGACTGGCCTCGCATCGTGTTGTCTCAGCGGCTCTGTGTGTGTGTGTCTAGCGTGAGACTGGCCTCGGCATCGTGTTGTCTCAGCGGCTCTGTGTGTGTGTGTGTGTGTAGCGTGAGACTGGCCTCGGCATCGTGTTGTCTCAGCGGCTCTGTGTCTGTGTGTGTGTGTCTAGCGTGAGACTGGCCTCGCATCGTGTTGTCTCAGCGGCTCTGTGTGTGTGTGTGTGTGTAGCGTGAGACTGGCCTCGGCATCGTGTTGTCTCAGCGGCTCTGTGTGTCTGTGTGTGTCTAGCGTGAGACTGGCCTCGCATCGTGTGTGTCTCTAGCGGCGTCCGCCTCAACGCAGTGCGTGTATCTCGGCATCTGAGTGTGTGTATCTGGCGTGAGACTAGCGTGGCCTGCTCTGTCTGTGTGTCTCTAGCGACGTCCTCAGGTGGCGAGATCATATCTCCCCACATCTCCCCAGATCTCCCCAGATCTCCCCAGATCTCCCCAGATCTCCCGTCCTTTGGCGCCTCAACGCGAGGGACGACGCGGAGCGAGTGTCCAGGAAGTGTCCAGGAAGTGTCCAGGAAGTGTCTAGGAAGTGTCAAGTCCGCCTCAACGCGAGCGACGACGCGGAGCGAGTGGGGGACGGGTTGCACGCGCCGCTCCCCAGCACCACCACCTCCATGTCCGCGCCCGTGCCCGTGTTCCCGCCACCCGCGCCACCGCCCGCGTCAACGCCGCCGCCGCCGCCGCCGCCGCCGCTGACTGGAGCCGCGTCGGCTGCAGCCTGCGCTTCTCTGCTGCCACCGCTGGCGGTGAGTGGAGCGAGGCCGTGAGAGGACGGCGCCGCGGCACCGCCCTGTAGCGTGCGGCGGCGCGGCGGCGCGGCGGCGGCAGCGGAGCTGTCATGCGGCTGCGTGGCGGAGGAGGAGGAGGCAGCAGAGCCGGAGGCGGCGGCAGAGGCGGCGGCGGCGGCAGGCTTGGCGGCGTATTCTTGCAGGCGCGCCGCAAGCTCCGCCTTGGTGCCGCTCACGCGGAGAGAGCGGCTCGCGCACGCCGCCCGCAGCTCCTCGCGGCTCAGCCGCCGCACAAGCTCCGCCGCGCCAGCACCACGCAGCGACGAGTCATGCAGCGACGTTTCGGGCAGCGCGGCGATCGGGCGAGCGGCGCGGCTGCAGCACGCGAGCTGGCGCGTCGGCGCGAGCGGTGTAGACCAGCCGAGCGCGCCAGCGACGGCGGCGGCTAGCATATGCTACAGAAGCAGGAGCTCACCCTCTGCGGACGACGCACGCGTGAAGCCTCGAAAAAAAGAATTCGATCGGCATGTTAACAACCACCAAAAAATGGCGAAGAGCCTCGCATATTCGCGCAACCAACGTACGACCCATATCAATACGTCTTACCGCCAGGCTTACTATCTGGGTGTGCGCGTCACGGCTGAGCCTGAGGCTGGTCGCTGCGTTCCACCGACCGCGCGTGCAGCGGCCTAGGGAGCGCGCTGCCACATAACAGCCTCAATCAATCAATCAGTCAGCCTGAGAGCCATCACTTGCTCTTGATTGAGAGAGGAGAGACCGTCTGCGTCTCTCGTGCTGAGGACCTTTCGTGAGGACCTTCGCCTGAGGACCTCTCGCTCAGTCCGCCTGAGGACCTATTGAAGTAACTTAGTTCCGCTCTTGTCGCACATGGTGATCTAACGCTGTGAAACACCAACACGTCATGAATGAAGAAACCTATCTCAGGCTACCAAGACGGCTTTCGTGCACTTCCTTAAACAACCAAAATTATACCCATTACCTGTTTGTGGGTCACACTCTGTTTGTGCGTCACGCTGAGGCCGGTCACCCTCCCGCCGCGTCCCACCGCGCCTGCAGCGGCCTCAGCGTGACCGGCCACACAGCAGCCTCGGCCAGTCTATGCATAAGTCTGACAGCCACTTGCTTTTGACAGAGGAGAGACCGTCTCTCCTCGTGCTGAGGACCTTTCGTGAGGACCTAGTCCGCCTGAGGACCTCTCTTGTCAATGTGGACCTTTCGGTGCCTGTGGTGCACACGATCGGAGAGGACCCACACCGCTCACACTCTCGCTGAAAATGTGCCAGGAGCGGCCTCAGCGAGCCGACTTCAAATAATGCCACTTCAAGAGAGAGCTGAGAGCCTCTCTCGTGCTGAGGACCTCCCATGAGGACCTCTGTCCGAGTCTCGGCCTGAGGCCTTCTAGTGCGGACCTTTGTCGGTGCCTGCACTCGACCGTCGATGTGGAATAGGATTGACGGGCAAACCAATATTCAGCCATAGCAAGAGGTGAGCAACCGAGCAGTACCACAAGAAATACTCACAACCCACAAGAAATCTCACTCACTCACACACGGTGCGGTGTGGGTGTGTGCGTCTGAGCCCATGGCGGATCGAGTCTCACGCAGAGCGCACAAGAGGCTGACCGGCTCGGGCACCTCGTCCCGAATCGCTCGCGCGGGCATCTTGGCGTTGTGCTGAGCTGTGGAGCGCGACCGGTAGCCTCTGACCATCGTGTGGCGTGTCATTCTCGGTGATTCGCGCGACAGGATGGACCAATGAACTTTGACGCGGCGCTGAGGCGACGCGTTGCGGGCATAAGAGCAGAAAGGGCTGTCTTTATTTACGCCCCGCGCCTAACCTCTATATCTCGGCCTTCGTCAGAATGATGTCTCTGGACGTACCAATGGGATCCTGCACAACTTGAGCAGCGCGAGCTGCAACGCAGCCCATGCCACTTCATCCGAACGGCCAGTACTATTGGCAGCCAGCTGCGCGTCGCAGCGTGAACGTAGCTCTGTTCCTTCATGAGGAGTGACGCACGCCCAGTGAAGCCCGTCGCTTCCGTCCGGCATCTCCGCCCGGCGCGGCCATGACAGTGCGTGAACGTCATGAAAATGCAGGTGAGCCGTACTTGCGGACCCCGCACGCGTAGACAATGCCTGTCTGGCCTCGGCAAAGCGGCGCGCGATCTCGTGATTGATCTCGTCGAGCCTCGGGAGCAGTACTGCGTGGGGGCCCTTCGTGTACGAGACAAACACGTTGCGCACCACCACATCTGCAATCGCATACGTGCGTGCGATGCGCATGATTTCGTCCAGAAGCCATGCAAAGCGCGTGCCGAAGGTCTGAATAGCTGTGGCGCCGCTCTGGGCAGAGAAGACAAGGTCCCAGACGCCGACTCCAAAAATCAGCGCGAGACGCCTCTCATGACTGTCGGAGCGCACCGCCTGCCGCAACTGCATCGAGACGTCCGAAAGATTCGTGGCGAGGCGATCCATTCGTGTGCTATCTGTGTAGAGCCCGCCCACGAATATTCCTTGTATGGACGAAAGGTTGTACTCGGACCGATCAAGGATGCGCTGCTTCGGGGCACCCTTCCGCATGCGCCACGTTGGCTCGTTGCGCCCGTGGTCAAGCCAACGCATGAACTCGAACATCAGCATCTGCGTCTGAGAGTCGCCGACGAAGAGCACGTCAACGGTACCTCGCGACCGGCGCAGGCACGCAGCAAAGGGACCGTTGTCCGCCTCGTGCCGTTCTGCATGCAGCACAGGAAGCGGTGTTGCATCGTGTGCGCAGAGCACATACTTCGGGTGCTCGCAGCCGTCACGCTCTTTACACCATTGGCCTGTCATGTATGGCAGACATGCGCCGCTGTGGGCGAGCGACGAGTTGGCGTCGCACGCCAGCGCGGCGTACGGACGCCAATTCATTGACCGACTTAGGATTCTGGACAAGCGGGGGTAGGGTATGGTTCGTTCTGAGCCGTCTGCTCTCGACGAAATTTTTTCGGAGCGAGACGTCGCTCAGGGACCTCGCGGCACGCTTGAAAGAGGCGTAGACGGTGTCAACTCCTTCTCGCCACGGTCGAGGGGACCAGCAGCACACACGCCTTCATTATTTCTCACCGTTTTTTACGGAGTACCCTGCGCTGTTTTCTTTCTTTGGCAACGGAAAAGCTTTTGTGTGCGAGGGTTCGCGCTGCGCTAGGCTCAGAGCGAGTTCGCGCTGCGCTAGGGCCTAGGCTCAGACGGCGAGTTCGCGCTGCGCTAGCTAGGTTGTGCCACAAGTGCACCAAAATACAAACATACGAGGCGAGGAGGTACGCACATACATACCTAAGACTGACTAACTGCAAACACGAATCGTGCAGGTGAGTGAACGAAGTCCCCCCACCACCACCACCAGGACCACCACCAACCCCACCCCACCAACAAAAACCGCGAGCATCGCATTGCCGAGCTCCCACACCGCGCCTCCTCGGCTCCAGTCAGTGTTGGCTGCGCCAGTTCTCGGTGGAGTCCAGAGGCCGCGCGCGCCTTATTTTTGGCGCGGTGAGGACCTCCTGCTTGTGACGTTGTGAGGACCTCTCGTGAGGACCTCTCATGAGGACCTCCGTCGTGAGGACCTCTTCTTCGGAAGTACCTCCCTTTAACCAAGTGAGAGTCATGTGGCACTAGTTCTGTGCGGGGAGTACGACGAACCAGAATGATGAATGTGTCTGTACAGTGTGTGTGTGTACTTGTTACGTGAAAACCCGCTGGGACCCGGACACAGTACAGTGTCGACACAGTACTAGTTGGACGTCTCAAGAAGCGCCGGAATTCCGGAATTTCGGATTCTTTTTTAGAGGGAGCGTTGTTAGAATTCTTTGTTCATCACTGGTCCGGTAGGCACTCGACACCGAGGCGATGGCAGTCCCGGCTGCGGTTTCTCTTTGATTGATTGATATCTCTGCGTGCCGGCAATTCCGGTTCTCTTGCTGTTAGTGCCAGTGCGCGCCAGTCCCGTGCCCGTGTCGTGCGAGGGAGCTCTGTTGTAAAATTCTTCAAATAGGCGTCTCGCAGCCACGTATTCTCGTATTCAGATTCACACCGTGAGGGCCCAACTTGAGAATCGTGCTTTTTGGGTTGGGTTGGGTTGTTGGGTTGGGTTGGGTTGTTCCGCGTGAGGTTGGGTCGTCGGCGCGAAGGGTGAGGTCTCGACCGCCGCCGCTCACGCCAGCGGACGGCCACTGCCGGTGTTTTTGGCTTCGCCGCCGTCCAAGGCGTGCGCCATGCGCTCGCCGGCATCGAGCGAGCAACGTGATCGACCGAGCGGCTTGCTGTGTGGTCGCCTTCTTGTGGCTCTCGTCGAGAGCGTTTTGCGTCCCGGTGGGTGGGAGAATGTGTGTCGTCTGAAGTGTCACTGTGTGCGTCACATCGATGTGGATAACAAGCACGGTCGATCCGTCAAAGCGATACACTCGTTCCTATCACGCTGGAAGGCTTGCACGGAGCTCTGTGCCGGCACACAGAAGAGCCGTGCGGCAAGAAGAGCTCGATGGGGAGCGAGAACTGCCAGAGGTGCTCACCCAGGTTTCGGAAGTCCGCCTTGATGCGGTCAGTCCCCCCCAGGTTTGACCGCGCAGCTCGCAAGACTCGTCGAACACTCGTAGCCTTTCTGCGCCCGCTCTGACTCTGCAAGCTATGCGGGAAGAGCAGTTTATTCGCAATATATCGACGAGTTCGAGAGAGCCACAGGCTTTCGCTCGGGAGGGATTGAGTGCGTCGCGACGGACTTCAGGCTACACCTGAAAATCTGACGGTTCTCGCTCCCCATCGAGCTCTTCTTGCCGCACGGCTCTTCTGTGTGCCGGCACAGAGCTCCGTGCAAGCCTTCCAGCGTGATAGGAACGAGTGTATCGCTTTGACGGATCGACCGTGCTTGTTATCCACATCGATGTGACGCACACAGTGACACTTCAGACGACACACATTCTCCCACCCACCGGGACGCAAAACGCTCTCGACGAGAGCCACAAGAAGGCGGCCACACAGCAAGCCGCTCGGTCGATCACGTTGCTCGCTCGATGCCGGCGAGCGCATGGCGCACGCCTTGGACGGTGGCGAAGCCAAAAACACCGGCAGTGGCCGTCCGCTGGCGTGAGCGGCGGCGGTCGAGACCTCACCCTTCGCGCCGACGACCCAACCTCACGCGGAACAACCCAACCCAACCACAACCCACCCAACACGAAACAACCCAACTCAAAGCACGATTCTCAAGTTGGGCCCTCACCGTGGCAACTCCGTGCACTGACGGTCGGCCGCCAGAAAACACGCCTCCGTGGCTCGGGTTACACCAATCCTCGCTACCCAACGCGGCCAAAGGATACAGTTGTATCCACCTCGAGAACCTGCGGAGATTCACACCGAGGCCGCCCCTCGAACCCACTCGATTGCATCTACGAGCCGCTTTTCGTGCGGCGCCTCTCCGTGTTGGTCTGGGCGCCTATAGCCCGCGCTGCGACTCCATGGACACCAGCAGGACGACCCTCGGCAGCCCCGGTGCCCTCAAGTGGCTGCACACCCGCAGCGTCGGCGTCACCTTCCGCATCTACCGCGCCGAGTACCAACAGAGCCGCACTTACATCGTGCAGGCGCACCGAGCCTCTCCCTGCCTCGCCCAGTGACAGTGCCGCTCTTCACCGCCCGTGTGTCATCGCAGTCTGCGGCTCTTCTCGCGTGCTCTCTCGGCATCTGCGGAGTGTGCATGCCCGCCGTGCCAGATGCGGAATCGCCACGATATCGCCACCCGATATCGCCACTACTCGTCGCCCTTGGCAATCCGGGTTGGTCAGATATGCAAGCACCGTCGTGCGGCCGTCTCGAGGGCTTACTATCAACGTGGCGACACAGCTTTGCATCCGAGGCTCACCTTAACCTTCCACCCCGCAGGCTCGCGGCGCTGATTGCCACGCGGCAGCTGCAGACCGACCGCACAGCCCTCGGCCTCGACCTCGCCGCCTGGAGGAGGAGGCTGTGGGTGTGAACACGGCGCCTCTTCACGCCTCGAGCTGTGAACAGGCCTCGACCTCGCCACCTCCTCCCTCTACATCCTCTCGGCCCTCCTCTCGCTCGCCGTCGTGTGCGGATGCGGTGAGGGCGGTCCAGGCGCCCACGGCTCAGTCCTCGTCCCGCCAGTTAGCTCACTAATCAGTGAAGGGTTGATGGATTGAGTAATTAGGCGCCCGCGGCTCCGTCAACGTCCCGCGCCAGTCCATCTTCATCGACGAGGGCGAGGAGGGCGAGGAGGAGGGCGAGGAGGAGGAGGGGGAGGGAGAGGCGACTGGCCGCGGCGTGTCGGCGAGCGATTGCGGCGAGAACAGCAGCGAGCGGCGAAGCCATGCAGCAGAAACCGTTTCTCTGGAACCTTCTCGGACTCTTCCCCTCCAGGCGAGAACAGCAGCGAGGACGGCAAGAGCAGCGCCAACGGCGGCGGCGACGAGCCCCCGTCGCTGCTCGCGCGCGTCTCGAGGCGCGTCTCCGGCGCTGAATAGTCGACCCCATTCACAGCCTTGTTATTGAGAAGAAAATACCTCCTATGGCGCTGCGCGCTGGTCTGTGAGAGGCTGAGGTGTTAGCCCTGGAGGCCCTGGGGATGGGGGGATACTACCCGCGGGCCTAGAAGGCCCGCGCGCAGGGGGGTGGGGCATTGAGACCGGTCATGATTCACAGAGTCCACCGTTCATGATTAGCAACTATTCCATCATCGCAGGCGCTTCTCCAAGCCGAATGATCGAAGCCATTCACGGAGTCCACCATTCATGATTAGCAACTATTCCATCCTCGCAGGCGCTTCTCCAAGCCGGCGCTGAATAGTCTCAACCATTCACAGAGTCCATGATTCATGATCAAAGTTCATCGCAGGCGCTTCTCCAAGCCGGCGCTGACGCGCTTGGCCTCGAGCGGTATTGGAAGCCTCCTCTCCCTCGCGCAGCAGCTGAGCGGAGGGGAGAGGGGCGAGGAGGGCAACGACAGCACCTGGCCGCACGAGGCGGCGAGAGAGATGATGATCGAGATGTAGCCGAGATATAGCCGAGATGTACCCGAGATGTACCCGAGATCTAGCCGAGGTGCTGGTGTGGCGGAGATGGAGTGCGCCTGCTCGGACGGCGCTCACGGCGGGTGCCCCATCTCCCACTCTCTTCTCTCTCAAACTGCCACTAGAATTGACACTGACCAGACGGCGCTCGAGGCTGGTGCCATCACACCAACACACACCTCTCTCGCCCCCTCCTCCCTCTCTCTCTCTCTCTCTCTCTCTCTCTCTCTCTCTCTCTCTCTCTCTCTCTCTCTCTCTCTCTCTCTCTCTCTCTCTCTCTCTCTCTCTCTCTCCCCTCCCCCCGCTCTCCTCTCTCCAACTGCACTAGAATGGACACTGACCAGGCGGCGCTCGAAGCTGGTGCCGACGGCGGCGGCGCTCTGTCGCGCGCGCCGACGGCGACCGCGCCGCTGGACAGGCGAGATCACACGAGATCACACGAGATCACACGAGATGGCCCGAGATCAAACGAGATGGCCCGAGATCTAACGAGATCGCCCGAGATCACCCGAGGTCACCCGAGATCACCCCGAGATCACTCGAGGAGCGATTCCACCCGCCTGCCTTCTGGGATAGGCGCGCCAAGGGCGTGTCGTTTGCGGACGGCGTCGACTTCTCCGAGGAGAGCCTCGCCCGTATGCTCACCTAGTAATTGACGGCAGCTGAGAGCTGCCCCATAGGAGTCGACTTCTCCGAGAAGAGCGTCGGCGCAGCCAGCCGCTCCTCCTCCTCCTCCCTAAAGAGGAAGGGGCGGCCCCCGCGGCTGCTGGTCAACGCTGAATGGGCAAGTAGTCATCGAGTCGAGAACGTAACCATAGGAAGGGGCGGCCTCGCGGCGGCTATCGAGCCTTAATTAAAATCAGTAGTAATCGAATTCATTAACTAGCAATAGGAGGGGGCGGCCGCGGCTCGCGGTCGTGCGGCTAGCGATGGTGTTCCTGGTGGGCACGGCCGTGTTCGCGATCGCCTCGGCGGCAGTCTGCGCCGCGTCGGTGCCGCGCTGCTACGAGCGGCCGCTGGCGATGCGAGGCGAGGAGTCAGTAGTTTGCAGTAGCAGCGGTAGGCTATTGGGCGGGCCGAGATGGGGCCCAAGGGTTGTGGGGTGCTACCTAGGCGATGAGTCGGATGACGAGACTACCCGCGACTACCCGAGATTACCCGAGACTACCCGAGATTACCCGAGACTACCCGCGACTACCCGAGATTACCCGAGACTACCCGAGATTACCCGAGACTACCCGAGATTACCCGAGATTACCCGAGATTACCCGAGATTACCCGAGACTAGGCGAGACTGAAAGAGACTACCCGAGATTACCCGAGACTACCCGAGACTAGGCGATGAGTCGGACGACGAGATCGACCGCCTGGCGCGCGGCACAGCGGCCTTCTCGCGCTGCTCCGAGCAGTGCATGCGCGGCCAGATGGAGCTGGGGCGGTCGGACCTCAACACCGCCAGCTGGGCAAAGGTTAGTTAAGTACTTATTAATTGTCATTATGAGTAAGTGCAGTGTGGCGGTCGGACCTCAACACCGCCAGCTGGGCAAAGGTTAGTTAAGTACTTATTAATTGTCATTATGAGTAAGTGCAGCAGGGCGGTCGGACCTCAACACCGCCAGCTGGGCAAAGGTTAGTTAAGTACTTATTAATTGTCATTATGAGTAAGTGCAGCGGGGCGGTCGGACCTCAACACCGCCAGCTGGGCAAAGGTGACGATGCTGGGCGCGCTGTTCAAGACGGCGGAGGATTGCAACTCCGACTTTGAGGCGAATGGGCTGCCTGCCCCGGGCGCCGACGGCGCCGGCTGGCTCCCGGCGCCGCAGACGTGCCCGATTGCCGGAGATTACACAGGGTTGTCTGCGAGATTAGGCACCGGTTGGCTCCCCGCGCCTCTGCGCGCGATCCCGACAGGCGCTGGCGGAGGTTGGCAGCGCGGCGGTGTGAACGGCGTCTCGTCACGCGCAGGGCTGTGGACAGGCGCGGCGCTGGTGGAGCTCGGCATGAAGTGCGGCGTCGAGGCGCGGCAGCGCGGCTGCGATGTCAACACGTTTGGAAAGCGGGGCCCAGATGCGGAATAGTTGCACGCGTACTTGCATTCCAACCAGCGCTCGAGAGGACACTACCCAGCTGTATTCGACCGTATTCGACCGTATCCAACGTCGTTCGCTGTATTCGTACCCCTCGTGTTCAGACGGTGCTCTAACGACTCTGCCCAATACTGCCTTCCCGCCCCCTGACGTCGGTGTGTTCTTGACGTAGGAAGCGGGAGCATGCTGGCGACGGCGGTCGGCATGGCGTGGCTGCAGGTGTGCCTGGTGCTGGTGCTGAGACACTCCTCCTGAGAGGCGGAGAGAGGCGGCGGTCATTCGCAGGAGAAGGCGCGCCGGGATATGCATATTGGCGATGGCTGAGACGGCCGCAGCGGCCGCGGGCCGGCCCCTGAAACGTGAAAGCCCTGGGAACGCTGACCCCTGTCGCGCATTGTGCATGCATGCATGGCCCAGATGGATGGAGCATGCATGCAAAATGAGATATTTTTATGACTAAGATGAGGACAAAAAAGAGGCACATGTGAGTACTACCGTACGCTCGTGTAGAGCACCCTAGACAGAACGTGGGCCCCGCCAGGCTGAGCCTGGGAGGCAGTGGGGCCGCCGGCCGCGCTGCGCGCGCAAGAAGCCCCCTCTATGTGCGAGCTAGGACGGCGGCACGGCGCCACTGCGCGGCAGCGTCAGCAGTAGACGTAGCAGTCCCAGCAGCTGGGCCGCTGGCCGGGAACAGCGTCGCTGCTGCAGCCGCAGGCGACGAAGTTCTCGAGGCGGTCGAGCCATGTCGGGCTGCGGCTGGGGTCTGCTAGCAGCGCTGCCGCGCTTACTCTCAGCGCCCTCGCCTTGGGTGCGTACTCGAGGCAGCCCTCACTTTCCGCGTACGAGCGCCTCGCCTCCTCCTGCACCGCGCGCTCAAAGTCCTGCCGCTCCGCAAGCGTCATGCGCGGATGCCACACAAAGCTTCGCCTGCGCCGAAAGCGGGAATCGTGACTGCGGCAGCAGTGAGGTCAAGGTGCAGCGGCGGTGGGCGCTTGACAGCGCGTCTATGGTATTCCTCTTGAGGCTTAGGGCCAGTGGTAGGGCACACCGTATGGCGTCGAGGCTCTCGTACGAGCTCGGCCGCGTAAGCTTCATCGGCGAGTTGCTGAAGCTGTCGCACCGCGAGATGCCGAGCGCCTCGCGCGAGCCGTCGCTGAGGTGCGAGTGGATGCTGCTGGTGCGGGAGGGCGGCTGCGCCTCGCCGAGGGGCAGGACGTCGGCTCGCGGAGTGGTCTCGGTCGCGGGAGCAGTCACCGCCATCGTTCTTAGATGCGCGAGTTGATGAAGAGACACGTAGACGTTTCCCCGACGTTGCGTTGCCGTGAATGTGAATAATAGAGTGCGGCAGTGAAGTGAGAGTGGATTGCTAAGCAAGCACACACTGAGAGTGGATTGCTAAGCAAGCACACACACACATGCCGTACAGAGCTCCCTTGTGGCAATGCACTGAACTATTAGTGCCATATGACTCCACATTGATCGTTTCTTTCTGGTTCCATGCATATTCTCCGATCTCCGATCTCCGATCATATCGGATCAGAGCAGGCACCTATGGCTATTGGTTTGCCCGTCGATCCAATTCCACGTCGACGGTCGAGAGTGCAGGCGCACCGACAAAGGTCCGCACTAACTAGAGGTCCTCAGGCCGAGACTCGGACAGAGGTCCTCATGGGAGGTGCTCAGCACGAGAGAGGCTCTCTCACCTCTAAGGGGAAAGAGGAGCAAAATAGTCGGCTCGCTGAGGCCGCTCCTGGCACATATTCACAGCGAGAGTGTGAGCTGTGTGGGTCCTCTGACTCCGATCGTGTGCACCAGGCACCGAAAGGCCCACATTGACATCGTCCATCGGAGCCGCTGCTCGACGCGCCGCCCCCGTCGGTGGAGGAGCCGCCGCCGCCGCAGCCGCCACCGCCGGAGAGCACCGGCGGCTGGTGTCCCGCCCAGGAGCCGACGCGCTCGCAGGCCTCGCGCAGCTCCCTTTGCGCGAGCGCGCTCCTCTTCACCGCGCTCGCCGCGGTCTTCTGGGCGGGTCCCGCCCTGCTCGTGTTCTACCTCGGGAGGGGCCAAGCCCAAGTGACCGAGCTCTTTCCCCCCGCGTCCCACGGATGAGGGACGGAAGCAGGCAAGAACCAAGATTGCCAGCTGCCGCCACACTGGTCACTGCACTGCACCGTCTAGCCGCGACGGCTGTGTTGACTGTTGTGTGTGGAGCTTGTGCCCCACCACTGTTTGTGTCGCCTACTGCATGTGTACTATGTTTGTGCGTAGAAGGTAGAACACTGTTTACGACTAACATGGTCTCTTGGGACAAAAACATCCACCGCGCACAGCCCACACGTGTCAAACACAGCCTATATATAAGGGGGGTCGCCCCCCCTTGCCCCACCACCTCGTGTGTGTGCAGAAGTTTACCTTACCTTACCTTACCCAGCCTACTGTACAGCCACAGGCCTAGGCCCGGCAAATTTACACTGGTGAGGTGACGCGGTTGTCTCGGGGGAGGGAGCGGGCAGGCTGCACTCACGGACTCACCCACGTCGCACGTGCACCGGGCCAGTGCTGGGCTCCTGCCTGCCCGTGTCCGGGTGTGGAGATGCGAGGGTCGCCCGCCCTTGCCCCACCACTTTGTGTGTGTGGAGAGAAATGTACCTTACCTTACTACCTTGACGCGGCTCTGCCAGGCTTGCGCGCGCATTGCAGTTGCCTCATGTGTGGGCTAATCCTTCATCCGTCCTCCTCCTGCAGCTCGCGCGGCAGCCGCCAGACACGCGCGACGCCATGGTCCGGGTACGCGATCTCGACCAGCTCGGCGTGGCCCGCCTGTTCACACCGGGGGCCGTGAAGAGGTCGATGAAGGAGCCTCGCTCTTGAGACTCGTTCTGCTGCCGCTGCACAGCGACGCCTCTCCCCGCCACCGCTCCCCGCCACCGCTCCCCGCCACCGCTACCGCTCCCCGCCGCCGCTCCCCGCCATCGTGTTCACCGCCTCGGCACACCGCCACCGCTCACCGCCAACGCACGCCGCAAAAGCCGCCGCCACCTCGCCCGCCGCCGCCGTCGCCGCCACATCTCGGCCGCCTCTAGGCTGCCACGATCCTCGGTTGTATCTCGGCTGTATCTCGGCTGCATCTCGCCGATATCGCGCCTGGTGCGGGGGTATGTAGGCGGGCCGCTCGAGCGCCTAATGAGTCATTAATCAACGCCCCTAATTAATGAATGAATTCGCCCAGAGCGGGAGGTTGGCCGGCCGCTCGAGCGCCGCCGGAGGGTGTGGGTCGTACCTGCAGATATGGGGAGATATGGGGAGATATGGGGAGATGTGGGGAGATGTGGGGAGATGTGGGGAGATGTGGGGAGGTATGGGGAGATATGGGGAGATGTGGGGAGGTATGGGGAGATATGGGGAGATACGAGGGTGCAGGTCTTCCTGTGCAGGGAGACGCTGGTGCGCGGTCAGGTGCGGCCAAGGTCTCCGCACACACAAGGTGGTGGGGCAAGGGCCAGGCTAGTCCCTCGCGACTCCACGTCTAAAAGACGGGTGCGAGGCCCAGAGCGCGTGGGTGAGCGGCGTGAGCGTGTCGGACTCCCAATCTCAGCGGCGCGTGGGGCGGCGGGGCGCACGGCCATGTGTGCCCACGGCATTCAAAGTGCAAGGCCCGGTGCGCGTGCGGACGCGGTGTGTACGTGTCTGTCGGCTCACGGGGCGGCGGGGTTCATAAAGCGTCACGGAGGCGTGATCCGGGAGGCGTGATCCGGGAGGCGGGGCAGACTTCACACCGCTGAATGATGCCGCCGTCGCGCGTGAAACCTGTCCACAGCCAAGAGTCGTGACGAGAATACGTGCATAAAGAGGACCGGTAGCCGCGCCCTCGGCTGTGAGAGACCGAGCGAGCGGGGCGACGCAGGCGCCTAAAAGTACGGGAGCTACTTATGAAGAGGTAGCGCTCTTCGAAGTCGGGCGAGGTAAGTGAGGCTGGCGCCTAAAACAGTAAGCCGGCTAGGATCAAGATTGCGTACTGTGAAGTCGGGCGAGGTAAGCGAAGCTGGCGCCTAAAACAGTCAGCCGGCTAGGATCAAGATTGAGTACTGTGAAGTCGGGCGAGGTAAGTGAGGCTGGCGCCTAAAACAGTAAGCCGGCTAGGATCAAGATTGAGTACTGTGAAGTCGGGCGAGGTAAGTGAGGCTGGCGCCTAAAACAGTAAGCCGGCTAGGATCAAGATTGAGTACTGTGAAGTCGGGCGAGGTAAGTGAGGCTGGCGCCTAATTTAGAAGGCTGTGAGTAACGAAACAAGCGTGAAGCCGGGCGGACGACGCGAGGCCGGCGCCGCCGCCGGCCCGTCGGATGGCGCCTAATTGAGTAATTCATCAACCCTTAATTAACGAATTAATTGGCTAATAGCGGCCCATCTGATGGCGCCGCCGCGCTGACGACGAGCGATCGCACGTCGACGCGGCAGAGCGGGCAGTGCACCGACGCCGCGAGAGCACCGCGCACGCACTCCGAGTGAAAGGCGTGCGCTGCTGCACACGGCAGCGCCTATAGGCAAGGTACGGTGCGGCAAGCTTCTCCACACACACGAGGGTGGTGGGGCGAGGGCCAGGCTAGTCCCTCGCGACTCCGCGTCTAGACAGGCAGGAGCTGGCACGGCATCAACTAATGAGGGGTGCAAGGCGGGGACACCACATGGCCGGGGTGCGGTGCGTCCCACTACCATCTCGTCTGAGTTTGACGGCTGTACGTACTTTGCTTGGCGACGTGTACTCTCGGGTGAGCTCGGGTGAGCTCGGGTCATCTCGGGTAATCTCGGGCCATCTCGCCGTGAGCTGCTGGCCGGACTCAAACTCGCAGAGGCAGATGGCGCACTCGGAGCGCGCGCTCGAGTCGGCCGCCGCGCCACTGAGCTCGAAGGGGAAGGAGCGCAGCTGCGAGATCTCGGCGGCGGTGAGCCGAGGCACCTGATGGCAGCGCACACGGCAGTGCGGTCGCAGCGTGACTGTCATCGCCTCGTGTGCACTGCCACTGCTGCGTCGGCTCCAATCGCCGTCCACACGTAGGCGGTGTCTCGCTGTGTTCCTCTGTGCTAGCTCGTCTGTGAGACTGGCCGACGGACCACGGCCGCATCCGCCGGCTCCGAGCGAGAGCGTCGCTCGTCGAGCCGCCGGAAGTAGTCCTCGAGGTCGTCGCGCACGGCGGGTGGCGGGTGGCGAGGCGGCAGCGGCGCGTCGTCGTCGTCCGAAGAGGAGGAGGAGCCGATGTGGTCGAAACGGGAGTAGTCCATGGCAACGGCCCGACAGCCGGCCCGACAGCAAAGGTGGATTCCTCGCCGTTTGTCGGTACGGCCGCATGCCTGCCTTTTTCGTGTGCCGTCCACCCGTCGCTGCTCAGGCCGGGGGAGGGGGGGAGACATCCTGTTCCTCGCGGAAGGGAAGTAGGCCCCTCCTTGCCCGGTGAGGAAGCAGGGCGGTGGTCGTGCCATCGTCGCTTCGAAGGCACACCTACGCGCCGCATTCGTCGCCGGCGCGCGACAGGCTCCCGTCGGCCGGACTGCCCTCGACGAGTGGGTGTCGCCAACCAAAGCGACACGCACTCGAGGGTAGTGCCGACGGGACGCGGCTCGAGGGCGACTCTCGCGAAGGCACGGCTGGCAACCGTGGCGCGGGGCTCGCGTTCGACAAGACCGGGATCGCTCTACCGGCAAACCTCTCGCTGACATGCGCGCACCAACGGATGGAACCCCCCAATGACCCACTCCCCCATCCCCCCCCGTGACCCAACGGATGGAACCCGGGCGACAGGGAGAATGTGGCCCTGAGTTATGTGTACGCCAACTCAGGGTGTGTGGCAGCCAGCTGGCTGTGTGTCTTGTGAGCCTGTTTGTGTCTGTGTGTCGTTCGTGCGTGTCGTCATCATCTGTCCCGCGTCCACCCATACCGCGTTGGTGTCCAGTCCGAGCCTGACTGTTGTTCATCTTTCTACATACATACATACTCTCTCTCGAGGTTCTCGAGGTGGATATCCTTTGGCCGTCCTTCTGGCCCGCGGGGCAGACCGCATTCGCCCACGCAGCCAACGGCACCGGCGACCTGTCCGCTGTAGGGCGTGAGGCCGCCGTGATCTTCGAGAAGTCGCACACTATCGTCAACAACAGGCAGATGCCGCCGACGACGCTGTTTGCGAACCTCGTCGTCGCGTCGTTCAACGCCGTCGGTAACTTTGGTGCGGCGGCCTGTGCGCTCAGCAAAAGCAATGGGCGGGCGTTTTTGGTTGCGGGCGACAGTGGCCTTGTGGACGTCATGGGCTTCGTGATGAACAACGAGCGGAACGGCGACACCCACCTCTGGGCGAGTGCCATCGGCAGCCACGTGGCGCTCAGAATCCGAAGCGCCACGACCAATTACGCGCACAGCTTGGATGTTGATGTCCAGCTTGGATGATAAGGCGATGGCGAGAGCCGCGCGGTGCCGGCACGGGCTCAGCTGCTGCTGGCTATAGCGTTGAATTGCCATGCGCATTGCGCCATTATATTGCCGCCGCGCTTTGGTGGGCCGAGCTCGTGATCGCGTTGCTCGTCGAGGCACGCTGGTGCCCGAGGTCGATCTGCGGACGTGTCCACGTGGCAGCACGCAGGGGGCAGGGCACCAGGGATGCTCCAACACAGGGCCGTGCGACGAGACCTTTCGCGCCGTCCTTGCCGAGACAGGCTGGGAGGCACTCGACGTCTTTGCCCTCACCGACTCGCTTTGGGCGGCGGCCGGCGCTGTCTCTCACCTGGATAGAATGCCAGCAGAAAGCAGCAGACTCCATTTTCTATCTTCACGTCGTCGCACTCCGCCGTAAACGTAGCCATTGAAATGAAGCGTAGTGATGCCACCCCCACCAGGATACTGATCATTACTTCGTACACAGAGGATTTCCTAAAAAGTGTACCTCGCAATCGGACGCTCTGTGCTCTGTGGCCCGCTGTGCAAAGCAATAGCGGGCCGTCAGGACAGCTCTGGGCCTTCCCCACCCTCTACGTCAGTATCCCCGCAGCACTTGAACGACAGCCCCCCGCAAACCTGGAGCGCCGTGCAAAGCACTGGCGAGCCGTCAGCAGGGTCGCGGCAGACGCACAGCTCCCTCTATCCCCGCAGCACTACGACAGTGGTTCCGGCGCTCTGTGGCCCACCGTGCATGGCGCGGGCGCTGCAAAACAGAAGGTCCGGAGCAGTGCCCCTCGCCCCCAAACCAGTAGCAGCACGGCCCGCGCCCGCGCTAAGATCCCCGACGCAGGCTCAGGCATCGTCGGCTCGCGACGTTTGCGCGATGTACTAGGACTAGCCACGCATCGGCTAGGAGCGCGTGGGCGTCCAGAGCGTCAAGTGTTGAACGCCGACGATGCGAACATATACAAGACTCGGGGAGCTCGCCGGCGGTAGCACGGCAAGAACCCCATACTGTCGTCGAGAGCCTCAGATCTCCAACTTGCACACGGGATCAGCGTACGTGTCGGGGCTCGATGGTTTTTGACACTGCTGCATGATGTAGTAGTACCTACACGTCGTCGCACGGACGCAAGGCTCTTATCATGGTTAGGACACCGAGACCTTCTGAACTGTGTGAGGATGCGCGGTGCTAGGCGAACGTGCGGTGGTTAATGCGGCGGGTCCGCACAGCATCTAACCAGCTGCGCACAGCTGCATGTGGATGGACTCGACGCCGCTGAGGTCGAGGTCTTGGGCGAAACCGGTGGCCTGGTTGCTCACCGAGAGCGACCACGAGGCGTAGAGGGGCGGCGGGTTGAAGGGACTGACGGGATCCTTTGCAAACTCTGGCGGCGTGGCGAAGTACTCCTCGAGGCGGCCGTCCGCGAGCTTGGTGTTGCGGAGGCACCAAAAGAGGCCGTCCGCCGGGCAGGTGCCAGGCGGAAGAAACGGCTTGTTGTACTCGGAACAGAGCTGGTTGTACTTGCTGTTGAAGACGTCGACAGGCACGCCCGATCGGCCGCTCTTACACCCTTCATCCTCGCCAGGGAGATAGTCGACGTTTTCGAGCTGGACCACAAACGTGTAGGCAGAGTTGTCTGTGAAGCGCTCATTGTCGACCGTCGGTGCCGCAAACTCGACATCTGTAAATTGTGGCTCTCTGTCGATCAACTCGCGGTTTCGGAAGCGCTGCACAAAATTGCTGGAAGGCTGAAGCTGTGGGAGGACATACTGGCCCTGGCTGGCGGTGATTCGCGTGTCACTGCCTTCCCGGCGGTTTGGCTGTAGAGCCTCTACAACAAACTCTATAGCAAAATCGCGCTCTACATCGCTCTACAACGCACGCAGTTCGTCACGCGGAGGATGTTAGAGCTCTACAACTCTACAGCGCTCCAGCGAGCGCTCTACATCTCTACAGCTCTACAGCGCTCTACACTCTACATCCTCTACACCCTCCCTCAGCAACGCTCCGAGCCCCACCGCTGCACCTCCCTCCGAGCCGGCCAAGGCTATCTATCCATATCCATATCCAGCGCGTTCCTAGAGGTGAACGCTAGGGCCGTAGCACAGCCCGCCCGGCTTCCCTTGGACCACGATAGCAGTCCAGGGACCCAGCGAGCGGCAGCAGCGCGTCAAATTTGCATTTTCCGTTTTTGCGCTGACGGTTCTAGGGTGTCGTACAAGATGGACATGCAAATTTGTCGAAGCGCATGTCGGCGTAGCCCGGAGCGACGAAAGCCTCAGAGCTCCAACTTGCACTTGGGGTCAGGGAACTCGCCGCTCTCTCTCGTGTTGCACCGCTGCGCGATGTGATACCTACATGGTCGCACGGACGCACGGGCGCTTATCATGGTTAGGACGAGACCTTCTGAACTGTGATGATGCGGTGCTAGGCGTGCGCGGTGGTGATGCGGCGGGTGTCCACAAGCATCTACCCAGCTGCGCACAGCTGCATGTGGATGGACTCAACGCCGCTGAGGTCGAGGTCTTGGGCGTCGCCGGTGGCCTCGTTGCGCACCGAGAGCGACCACGAGGCGTAGAGGGGCGGCGGGTTGAAGGGACTGACGGGATCCTTTGCAAACTCTGGCGGCGTGGCGAAGTACTCCTCGAGGCGGCCGTCCGCGAGCTTGGTGTTGCGGAGGCACCACTCCGCCGGGCAGGTGCCTGGTGGGAGGTACTGCTGATTGTACTCGTCGCAAAGGAATGAGAACTTGTTGAAGACGTCGACACGCGGTTTCAGGCCTCTCTTGCAGGCCTCATCCTCGCCAGGGAAATAGTCGACATTTTCGAGCTGGACCACAAACTTTGACGGCGCCGCAAACTCCACATCCGTAAATCGCATTCCTCCGTCGACCAATTCGCGGTTTCGAAAGCGCTGCACAAAGTTGCTGGAAGGCTGAAGCTGCGGGAGGACATACTGGCCCTGGCGGGCGGTGATTCGCGTGTCGCCGGGGCTGTTGAAGTACACCAGCGCGCCGCGTAGAAAGAGGCCGCACGCGCCCGACATGTCCTCGGGGAAGGAATCCTGATCAAGACGGAATGTAAGCTTGCCGTACGTGTCAGAGTTGGGGTCCTTGAAGGCTTGCCAGGCGGCGCTCGTCGCGAACGGCGTCTTGGGGAAGTCGGTCCCATTGGCGGGCACCTCGGCCGTGGTAACCTCCTCGAGCCGGCAGCAGGCGAAGCCGGTGCCAGCCAGGTCCGCTTCTGCGCACGACGAGTCCCCCGTCAAGATGTAGCGCTGATTCTCCTCGGTGTCGTTGCACAGGACGACTTCATTCGATTTCACGTCGACGATGGCAGTCGTGGTGTTGAACTCGGTGATGTTGATCCGGAGCAAGCTGGTGATCTGTCTGTCCCAGAGCTCCTTTTGGACAGCGAGCTGCGCATCCGCCAGTTTCGTCGCCTTGAGCTTCTCGAGCGTGTCCTTCAAGTACTGCTCGGCTTCCATCGCTTGCTTCCCGTTCGGCTTGGAGGTGAAGGGCTCGACAAGCTGAGACCAACGACCGCCGCCCTCATAGCGGTCGCAGAGCTGCTTGATGTCGTTGCCGTCCTCCTTGGCGAGGCACTTGGTGTACTGCTCAGTCATCTGGTAGGCGAGCGCCTCGCAGACCAGCCGCATCGTGTCCTGAAGCGTCATGGCCAGCTGGGTGATTTGCATCGCAAGCAGCTGCTTCTGTCCCTCCATGTCGAGGATATTGCACTCGGACTCGTTCACCATACGCTCTACCGCCCCGCGTGACGCGTCGTTGGCGCGGCGCTGGACCGCGAGCATCGCCTGCTTTTGCATGACACTCACCATGACCTTGACCGCGGCCGCATAGTCTTTGCCATACTGCGCCTCGGCGACCGTGAGGTCGCGATAGTCGTTCGCGTAACGGGCCCCGTACGAGCCGCCAACTGATCCTGTAAGAAAGATGCTGACTGAGCTCTTCTTCTCGGCGGCTGCAGCCTCCCAGTAGCCATCTGACAGCTGAGAAACCTGGGCCATGAGGCTCTCCGTAGCATTGTCAAAGTCGGCTTGGCCGGGATTGGGGTAACTTCGATTGGTGGCGTCAATGATTTCGGCCGTCTTCCGCGATACGTCGGCCTCCCGTAGCATCTTGTTCAATTTCGGCCAGTTTTTGGCCGTGCCGCACACCGCCGGCCGGTAATTGATCGCCCAGCCCACGCCTGCACAGCCGAGCAGACCGCCCGCACCATTGATCACGCTTTGCGTTATCGTGGTAAAGAAAGCAAATTTCTGCACGAAAATCGAGTACTTTGAGCCGGTGAAGAGTGCGTCATCTGCGGCTTTAGCAGCCTTTCCCACTTTGGAGATCGTGGACACGAGCTCGAGGCCGCTCTTGAGGTCGTTTGCTTTGTCGGCAGCGCTGATAGCGCCCATGGGATTGACAAACATCTCCGCGAGCGAGAAGAGGGCGCCGATTATGCCGGAAATGAGCTGGGCTCTCATGAAGTCCTCGACCGCTGTCTGCAGTTCCTCCAGCTTTGCCTTCATCTTCACGCCCGTTGCGTTGAGGCCCTGCTGCACAATTTCGACGGCGTCGAAGGTCCAGTCAAGCTGCTTGGCGAGCTGCTTCTCAGTCTCGTCGATGATGCTGTTCTCGCCGGCAAGCTGCACGTCTGTGAGGTGATAGAGGTTCTGGAAGCCGGCAAGGATGGTGTTCATGTTGTCCTTTTGGATGTAATCGTCCACCAGCTCGTCAAACTGCTCCTTCTGCAGCCGAACACGCTCCACCATGGTGTTGAACGTCAGAGGAGGAAAGGCGCGCATGCGGGTGGTAGTGGAGTTGCCGAGCCCGTTTGCCCGGGCCTTTTGCTCATTGGCCTGCTGGAGGTATCGGCGGAAGAGACTCGCAGCCCCGCCGATGGTGGCGCCGACCGCGTTACCGCATTTGCTCCCGTCCTTGGCGCCGCGGCCGCACATCTTCAGGGAGCACGCGTTTTGAACTGGCCCAAAGGGCTTCTCA